GCCGGTGAACATCAGCACTGCCCCGTCAGGGATCCCCTGCTCTGTGCTGAGATGCAGCCAGCTCTGGGGTGGGGCTGTGTAACAGCAGCACTGCACAGTCAGGATCCCCTGCTCCGGGCTGAGATGCAGCCAGCTCTGGGGTGGGGCTGTGTAACAGCAGCACTGCACAGTCAGGATCCCCTGCTCCGTGCTGAGATGCAGCCAGCTCTGGGGTGGGGCTATGTAACAGCAGCACTGCACAGTCAGGGATCCCCTGCTCTGTGCTGAGATGCAGCCAGCTCTGGGGTGGGGCTGTGTAACAGCAGCACTGCACAGTCAGGATCCCCTGCTCCGTGCTGAGATGCAGCCAGCTCTGGGGTGGGGCTGTGTAACAGGAGCACTGCACAGTCAGGATCCCCTGCTCCGTGCTGAGATGCAGCCAGCTCTGGGGTGGGGCTGTGTGACAGCAGCACTGCACAGTCAGGATCCCCTGCTCCGTGCTGAGATGCAGCCAGCTCTGGGGTGGGGCCGTGTAACAGCAGCACTGCACAGTCAGGGATCCCCCTGTCCGGGCTGAGATGCAGCCAGCCCTGGGGTGGGGCTGTGTAACAGCAGCACTGCACACTCAGGGATCCCCTGCTCCGTGCTGAGATGCAGCCAGATCTGGGGTGGGGCCGTGTAACAGCAGCACTGCACAGTCAGGATCCCCTGCTCCGTGCTGAGATGCAGCCAGCTCTGGGGTGGGGCTGTGTAACAGCAGCACTGCACAGTCAATCCGAGGGTTTCGGGAAGGACTGTTGGTTGGTGCTGACCTCAGCTCCCTGCTGTGATGCGAAAGGGGTCGGGCCTCAGCTGTGGGGAGGGGGCTAGTTTGTCAGAGCCGGGGTGATTTCAGAGCAAGGGGCTGACCTGGGCACCCTTGTCCCCCCTGAGAGCAGGCCCGGCCTCACTCCCCCACCCCTGCGTCAGGCCAGGCCAGCGCTCTGCCCGTCTGTGCTCCGCTCCCTGGCATGGGTCATACTGTGGGCACTGCCCGGGGTCTGCTCCTTGCACTTCACCCCAGATCCTACAGTCTCTCAGCCTGACCCCATCACACCACAGTCCCCAATTCCCCCTTCTACTACTATGGGACCGCCTCCAGCTCAGCTGCCTTTGCAGCACCCAGCACCCTCTGTGTGTGCTAAAATATTTATACCCCAGGGCTGCGACTAGACTGGCATGATTTTTCCGCAAATGCTTTTAACGGAAAAGTTTTTCCGTTGAAAGCATTTGCAGAAAAGAGCATCTAGATGGGCACAGACGCTTTTACGCAAAAGCACTTTTTGCAGAAAAGCGTCCGTGCCAATCTAGACGCGGTTTTGCGCAAGAAAGCCCCGATCGCCATTTTCGGGGCTTTTTTGTGCAAAACAGTTTTTAGCTGTCTACACTGGCCCTCTTGCGCAAAAACATTTCGGCTGTGTCTAGACTGGCAAGTTTTTCCGAAAAATCAGCTGCTTTTGCGGAAAAACTTGCCAGCTGTCTACACTGGCCGCTTGAATTTCCGGAAAAGCACTGACGAGCTCCTGTAAAATCATCAGTGCTTTTCCGGAAATACTATGCTGCTCCCGTTCAGGCAAAAGTCTTTTTCTGAAAGACTTTTAAGCAAAAGGGCCAGTGTAGACAGCAGAGATTTGTTTTCTGCAAAAAAGCCCCGATTGCGAAAATGGCGATCGGGGCTTTTTTGCAGAAAAGCGAGCACAGTGCTGTTTTCGTGATCGGGGCTTTTTTGCGGAAAACCGCGTCTAGATTGGCCACAGACGCTTTTCTGTGAAAAAGCGTCCTGCCAATCTAGACGCGCTTTTCCAAAAATGCTTTTAACG